ATTGAATAGAGATAGAGACTCCGTTCGACGTTTATCGTGTTTGTCTCGTCAATGCGGATCGAATGATATGCAGCATGACCTATTTCGGTAAGGTCATGACCTTGACCTGAGGTCAAATTTTCAAAATGACCTTTCGAGGTCAAACTATATATCATTCGACGCGTCTCGACGAGCCAAGCACGATGGTGCATGAATCGTTTCTCTATTTTCTCGTGAATGCATGCTATAGTTAAAAACATTTTCAACGAAATTTGCCAAGTTGACCTTGCATGACCTCTGTAGGCCAAACCGTTGAGCTGAGGTCAAATCTGACGAACCTTGGCGAAAGAGCTTGAAAAGAGCTATCGATTGCTTTTTTCCGCGGCTCTCTAGCTCTTCTAGTTTCCGAGCTACAGCGGAATATGTCCGGCAACACCGAAAACACTGAAATTTGACCTATGATGACCTCTAGCGACCTCAATATTGACCTTAGCGAAAAAATGACCGAAATACTTTCGAACGTACTTGTTATGGGCTTTCGTTTGCTTTTTTCCGCGTCTTCCTAGCCCTCTTCGTTTTCGAGTTAGACGGGGGGGGGTCATTTTGGCCCCCCCCACCAGGGCGAAGGTGGCTCAGACCCACACCAGGGCGCGGGTTAAGTGTTGAAGATGCGATCGACTTGTTGGTTCACAAGTTGGTAATGATCGTGTAAAATGGCTTCATCGTAGATCGACTATAGTTTCCGAGATATAACCGGAAATTTAAAAGTGCAAAACGTACCGCTTAATCTCGCGAGAGCCGTACCTATCATTATCATTCTGTCAGCATGCCCAGACATCCGGGTGATGCATGATAGATGGATTAAATTACCTACCCATATATGCTGTAACTTGTAAGCACATTGATTGAACAATGCAGCGATAAGAGAAGTCGCCCAGGTCACGGAGCCCGGGACGTTTGAGACTTTACTCCAATTTTGGCCGGCGCCGTCGTCTCTTAAAATGTCTTTCTTATTTCTATTTATTTATTTATCTCTTTTTAAGGTATTGCTTAAACTCTCGCTGACCGAGGGGAAAGGACGTTGCCGTCCCCCAATAGTTTTTTTTCGTGACAGCTCATAACACGTCGGCGATAGAGAGCTGAAACTTGGCATAGGGGAAGAGGGGGGAACACCGACCCGCTTAACTGTTTAGGCTCTACACCTTTTTAGGCGCAATTTCAAAAATTTAAAGACCAAATTCAAAAAGTTTACATTCAAATTGCACGTGAACGTTTTGAATTTGGTCTTTAACTTTTTGAAATTGCGCCTAAAATGCTGTAGTCACGTAATTTTTGGCCAAATGACCAATCTCTCAGTTTCATTGGATTGTCTCATCAATTTTGCACATATAACAACCAATTGTTTTCTTGTAGTGTCGTTCATAATTGCATTATTCCACATTTAGTAAATGTCTACATTATTCGGGGTAACACCGACCGTTGAGTAACACCACCCGAGCTCAGCAGGCAACGAAATTTGGAGATTGGACTATTAAGCTATTCTTATCGTAAATTTCGAGGCGTTTTAGTTTATTTATAAAATACAGTGGAAACGATTTTAATATTTCCTTGGCATGAGGTCCGGACTCCGGTCGGTGACGTGACCTCACCATAATAAGTCGATGGGGAAATGGAAACTGTTATTTTTGCGCCAGGAATGGTCTAAAACTGACTCAAACACACGGAATCGTGATTTCATGCACTCCCTGCAGGGTCCATTACTTCGCTTTTTCTATTGACCTTGTGTTACATCATGTATGTGGTCACTAAGGTCATATGAGTTTTTCGTCAATATCTCACGAATATTAAAATTAACGCTAGTCAGCAAAGCCACCAATGGACTCGGGAAGACCTGTTGAATCAAATGATGTGCAATATGACCTCCTTCGACCAACTTAGCGACCTGAGGGCTCTGACCTAAACTTGACCCGAGGTCAACACCCTAGTTGATCTCACCCAAACAAAAAATATACCATTCGACGCGCCTGAAGAAGATAAACACGATGGTGTCAAATTTGCGGCTCTGCGACCATTTCTTGCGAAGTTATCTACCGAAATCTGAACCCGTACTTTGGGGCACTTGACCTGACCTCAGAGGTCACCGGTTGACCTGAAACTTTAAAACGGGCACCAATCGCTATGCCTCGTAACGGCGTATGTAGAAAACCAATAGTTCCGTCGAGGGCTAAGTTTTCTCGTGCACTGAACGCACGGTAGGTATCGAACATCCTTGTAGGCATATGTATCTACTTTCGTCTCAGCGAATTCGGGATTGTCCGCCATGCTCAGGAGCAGCCACGGCGCCGTCAATGGTCAACATGGATTATTGAACAATATGGCGCGGGCAGTGCGCGTAAAGATGCTTCAGCCCGAAATCGATATACCTAGGTAAGTTTGTCGTGCAAGGCCGACGGAGGCATCCGGCATCGTAATTCCATCAAGATTCAATTCCCTATAGTTCTTTTACCTTATGTTTTAGGTACCGTAAAGTGGGGCTATTTGAGACAGTGGGGCTATTTGAGACAGTACGGTAGTGGTTTACTAAAACTGCTGTACAATTAAAACTGTTTGATATTTTTTATCAATTTTTGCTCAGGCTGATGTGGAATTTAACGATGCATTCCATGGATAGGGTTTTTTGAAAATTCTGAAAATTTTCGAAAGAAATTTGGCAATAAATGAGAAATACAGAAAAACCACAATATAAGTAATACGAAAAGCACCCCTACCTGCAGCTTAACATGGTTAAAGTTTTGAAAACTTTGCAACCGAATCTATCGTAACTATCGTTTTACTTACGGACTAAGCATATTTTTCATGAAGACATTATCTATTGTTAACGGTAGTGACGATTGTGTAACCCAATGTCCCAGAATCCTGATGATACCCACTTCGTCAAACCTCAACGTTTACCAAATACAGCTGGTGATTGTGATGTCAAGGCCCTAAAAACAGGTGATATGATGCACCCGAAAATACTTACCGCCATATGCCTAAAGTGTATCAACCGTTCGATCTAAGAAACACCGGTTAATCGGTCATGGGTTCATGGTACTTTCAGCAGCAAGCAATATACACATTGTATTAATATGACAGTCCAGTTTGTGACGATATTATTATAGTTATCTTTATGAATATGTGCAAAAAATGTGTTCCATCAGTCACTGACGTGGTCGGTAATCGGCCCATGTCTACTCTGGTTGACCAGAAGGCACCATTGAAGGTTATTTATCATACATACGTACTGTTAGGTGAGCCTTCAGTATACGTACTTGATGCAGTGCGGTAACCGGCCGTTCGATACAGCATGCAGTGTTGTTCTATGAAAATCGGTATAAAATCAAAACCATTTGACCCTTTTCTGTTATTTCTTCACAGGTTGATGTGCAACGAAACAATCAATCATGAATGTCATTCATTCAACCACTTTGAAAACTGTTTTCCCCTGTTTAATGCATTACGGTGTGTTCAATGCAGTAGCGAGCCTGTCTCAAATAGCCCCACCAACTTTCAGCCTGTATGTTTTACGCCGCCAGAGATAAACACAACAACTTTATTTAAAATTTCACTGTCGTTGACTTAGAAATGGTCCCATATAATTATCCTGTTATTTTTAAAGCTTAGGGTCACATCATATTATGACAGCCCTAGCATAAAGTAATGCGAATTTTTATCAGACCGAAATGCTATGTCCAACGAAAAACGAAAAGTGTGATTATAAGGGTTATATAACTGTAGTTGAAAGAAATACTTGATGCCAGAAGTATCAAAATTTAATTTCCAATAGCATGGCATTAAAAGAATTATCCCTAGCTCGACCAATTTTCTTTAACTTCCTTGCAACCAAAACTGTCTCAAATAGCCCCACACTATGGGGCTATTTGAGACAGGCTTCAATTAGAGAAATGCCATTATTTATGCCTACTATCTGAACCAAAACGGACCTATCTGAAAACGGTTACAGAGGACTACGTTTTTGCAATTTACATGCTATAGGAAATATCAGCCGTTTTGAAGGGAGAGGCCAAAAACTGTAAAATCCGTTTCAAATAGCCCCACTTTACGGTATTTATATGCTGTAAAATGGCGGACCCCATTGCTGTCAATAACCGTCAATAATCAATACTTTAACAAATGCATATGAACTGTTGGGCACGTTTAGGCACTTCTACAGCTAAATGATGTGTACTGCATACCTATAGTGTGCAGCGTAACTTCGTTAGGGCAGCTCCATGAATACTGCGTACTGGGCGTGAAACACGCCTACACATTATGAGCTGTCGGGCACGTGAAGGCACCTCTATGGGTAAATGATGTGTGTAGCTTCGCTAAGACAGTCATGAATGCGGGGTACTACGCGAATAATTGTGCGGTAAATTGCATCGCCACCATCGTCTTACGATGAAGAACGAGCCCTATTCAGCTGAAAGTTGTCGCCTGTCGGAACGGTAAGCATAAAGAAGAGCGCTTCAGTGGGATGGGAGTGTGTAGGTATTTGTCCGCAGCTATAGCGCAGACCAGACAATGGTCACGGGAAGCTATGGATCTGCAGTGGGTGGTACTAGGCAGGCAGTAGCGGCAGTCGTCTCCAGAGGTCCACCGTCCACACTGCTGGGAGCCATCTCTCCTCCTGAGAGGGCCTTTCGGGCACATTCGAGCTACCTTCACGGTGAGCATTCTTCAGTCCGATAATCCTCCAAATCTCGTTTTTTTATATATCAATTTTACGTTCAACATATCTCACTGGCTGCATGTGGTCATGGAGAACTTGAAATGCTGTGCTGCTTTCGAAGTGTTCCATCCTTATTCAGTGTCAGGCCGTTAAAAACGAAAATGCGTCATCAATCATCGAGAACGTTGCTTATGAATAGAGAATGGTACGAGCTTGAAGTTTTATGAGCACTTGGGCCGAGATTCTAGAAAGTGAAAAGAGAATATAAATAAATGCCTATACTCGAAGCAAAAAAAGTTAAAATGTTACACATTTATAAGATTTATTGAGCTTATTGTTTGAACAGGCTAAATACATGGCTAGGATAGGAATATTATCTTGGAAGCAGCCGTACCAGGTCATTAAAGTTGAAATAAATAATTAGAATATTAAATAAGGTAGACACGTACCTAATGCAAATACCAAACGAGTAATTGTTGCCGTCTTAGTGCCATTTGTTGGATCATGGATGGAATCCTGGGCCTATACCGTCGTCCACGTGCCCAGCCTCGACTGACAGGAATCACGGCATCACAGCTTGGTGCAGCGTAAGTGTGGCACTCCTGTCGTGCCTCACATTCGTTTTTCAAAGCTAATGCGCGGATTTACTCATCCCGCCAGCCAGGTCAGATATGCCCCCTGGGGATCAGCGCGTGGTGCCCGCGCCCCCGACCAGTGGCGGTTCCGGGGACGGGGGCGCCAGCCGCCCTCTGCGCGCTCTGATCCGACTGCTGCGTCTGAGCGGCATGGCCATCCGGCCGCGGCCGCGTCGGTGCTCGCTGCTGTGGTACAGCCTGCTGTACGTCCTGCTGACGGTCGGCTGCTGGGTGGCGGTCCGTGATGACGTCCGGCGCGGTCTGGACGCCGAGAAGCGCGGAGAGCACTGGGTCAACGCCACGCTCGAGTCTCACTTCTTCGGGCTGACGATGGTGCTGGTCTGGCTGGCGCTGACGCTGACCTTCGTCATCGGCAGCCGCCGGTTCGACGCGCTGCTGGACGAGCTGCCGCAGCTGCTGCAGGAGAGACAGGCGCTGGCTGCGTCCTACGGCGGCGGCAGATCGGCCTCCGGCCGCAACCTCAGCCTACTGCTGCTGAAGGCGGTGGTGATAGTCACAGCCATCTTCATATCGCTCTGCATTGAAAAGGTGGTGTCTACCGACTGCGCTGTGCCAGTCACCTGTGCGACTAGCCTGCTGAAAGATGCCATGAAGTGTTTCATTCTTACGTTCTCCCAGCTCGTGCCACTCAAGTACATGTTCGCCGGCGTCCTCCTGAATGACAGTCTGCACACGCTGAACGCCGCTCTGGTGGTGGTGGCCGCTGAGGACCCCGTGGCCTTGCCGCCGCATCTGGAGCGACTGCAGACGCGGCTGTCGGCTCTGCTAGCGCGCCTGACGTCCGCCATGGCCGCCGACCTGGTGGTGCCGACGCTGTTCGGCGTGCTGGCTGAGGTCCAGGTGGTGACGGCGCTGGTGCACCTGGTGACGGCGCGGGCCAGCCCTGTGTCGGTGATGTTCCCGGCGGCTCAGGCCGTGCTGGTCGTGCTGCTGCTGGTGGCGCCGTGCGAGACGTGCCAGCGGTTGCTGTCGGGCGTGTCGGCCAGCCGCGACCACCTGCTGCTGCTGGAGCGCCGCCTCGGCGCCGGACCGGCCCGCAGGACCGCCGTCTGGATGCGCGAGGCCGCCGCCCGCGACCTGGAGAACTTCGGCGACCTGGGCCTGTTCCGACTGCGGCGCGCCACCCTGCTCAGCATCGTCTCCGCCACCATCACCTACATGATCGTTATGGCGCAGTTCCTGAGCTCGAGCGGCAGCCCAGCCGCGGATGACGCTTTTGAGGCGTCCTAGACCCTCGTAGCATTTCTGTCGTGCTGATAGCATGTTTACCACTAGCAATACCGATTACCGAACGCATTACTATTTGTCACGCATTAATCGAATGCGTGCCATTCACATTGCACATAAATTGTCACACATTTGCATTAGCGTAATGGCACGGATGGCTGCACCATCCCTATACATAGGTAACAATGGAAAAGTTATACAAAACCAATTCGGAAAATGTCTTAGAAAGCGACTGATGGTTAGGTCTCAGGCATTTATTGATCATATAATTGTTCAAGACACCGGGCGGCCCGAACAAACGTTTCAAAGTTTAAAGGCATACCATTTATAAAATATTCGTTTTCAATGCATTAAGTTTCGGGGATTTACATTGAAGCCCTAAAATTCGGATTTTTTTCGGGCTATCCGAAGTTTCCTCATTATTTCAAACTTTAAGTGACAACAATAGACATCCACCGTCCGGGGCAGTGCCGGGTACATCCCCGAGGTTTTGTAATATGTGTCTCGTGAGTCGACTCGGTTAGGCGACGCCGTCCGCTGCTTCGGTGCTGTCGGTTTCGTTGTTGGCATAGGAAGTGTCGGCATCAGGGTCGACAAACCATTTGTCACTGGAGCTGTTCAGCCTGGTGCACTTGAGAACGGCGTCATTGGGCACCTATGGAAATGATAATGGAGTGTGTTATAGATGAAATGCATCATGAACTACATGGTAGGTACGTACAGTTTACTACAGAATGGTGTTCCACTTTTCACAGGCAATCAGTTACCTGGAGTGGTAGGCTGTGCCGCATCACACGAACTGAGTTAACAGTTTAATGCTGTAACCTAGCGCTCACAATTAGACAGAAGACACCCTTCAATACATGATAAGCGACAGAACTAAACGTTCCAGTCAACTGATAGCTTCTGGGAAGCGGAACATCTCAACTGAGCTTACATATACTCGACAAAGTAACCAGCAAATAATTCTGCAGGTGCTTACATACCAACAAAACGTCCTTTTATATAACAGTGATTTATCGTTAGAATTGTTTCAACGAATGGTTACCGCATAATTCTTGTCTTAATTTGGTTTTATGATTATAATATGCGCCATTAAATTTAGGTTAGCCGCGCTGCCTGTCACTTTAAAGGGAAATGGTAGGCATGGTCATTTATTCAGGTAATTTGTAATGTTATTCACTACATAGTGCATGGTATGCGCTGCGTTGCAATTTATTCGTTGCTCTACAGGGTGGGGCAGCATAATCGGGAATAAATATCAAACGGGATTATTTGGTCATGAATTTAAAAATATAGCTCCAAGCACTATTTTAACAACATCCCATCAATCGGTCACCTTTTACCTATCCCTCATCCTATTTGACCGCCCTTCGCGTCGATGACCTTCTCAAGGCGGGTCCAAAAGCACGCGCATGCACGTGCAACCTCCTGCTTGTCCATGATCGCCCATCAGCTTCGTACCTTGCACTGAAGACCGTTTTTACTGATGATAAGTTGTTCATTAAACTTCTACCAAAAAACGCTCCATATAAAGAATTTGGTCGGATTTAAATCGGCGGAGTTGAAGGACCAGAAGTTTTTGGTTCATCTCAGGTGGAGGTGCCCTACACAATAACATGTCGTCCTCACTGCAGTACCAGCACGGACAGAGTCCTCGTAAGACGTGATCTGGACCGTCAGTGATCCTCTCTTCCGACGACTCCACGTGAGTCTGCCAGAGTGTGGATGTATTTACCAGAGGTGCTCGTTTTATCCGGGCTCGATGAAGTAGGGTGCACCACGTGCACCTCCCTTGAAGACCACCCATAGGTCCATCACCTCAACAGGATGTTTACTTTGCATGACCGCTGCAATATTCTCGATACAATCCCCTATATGGCATGCCATTCTTTTTTATCGTATTCCAGTCGGTGATAAGATTTTTGGTCGCTGAAGTTTTGAACATTGTTTCTTTTTAATATGCTCAAGAGCTTCTTCCTTATATTCAAGTGAGTCATCTTGTATGTCCTCTGCTAAGAGTTATTTTACGACGATTACGTTAACTTTTTGTCCTAAGTATCCCCACACAATCCTTATCGTCCGTGATAACACGTTGATCTGTCCAGCAACCTTTACGTGGAATGGCATTGTTTTAAACAAAATGTTCTTGTTTTACTCGTTTAACATTAGTGTCTATGGGCGCGCGCAAAGCACTTGGAGCACCGTCGAACTATTTTGCTGCTCTTTTCCAGGAAGTTGCATGCTCATGGATGTAGTCATGTCAGATGATGCACAACTTTTGGGCGTTTCATTGCCATGATATAATTTATCAAAATAATGCCATGCCTACTCATGACCAGAGCCCAAAAAGCATTCCCGATTATGCTGCCCCACCCTGTATACTAAAAGAAAAGATGAAACACTAAAAGAAGTCTCATATTATAGTCGAAATGTTGATATTCTGTGAAATGTTTTGCATATTGCGACCAAACTTTGCCTAAAACAATATAGCATCTTATCGGTTATTAGTTAATATAATGTAGTGCCTATATTATATACGGTAGACGTTTGCTGGTTGACCTATTATCCTATTAACCTATTAAGTAAGAAAACAGTTATTATGAAAACATGAACATCAGGCACATCATCAAAACAGTCATTCAACAGGCATTGTAAATTAGATAATTATGTGCAATAAGCATTAGCCATGTATGGACGACCGTAAAGACCATCGCAGTGTGCCGCTGTGGCACCGCTCACCATCTCGAGGCGCGTGTAGCGCGGATGGTGGTGTTCCCAGAGAGGATCGTTGGCCCGCTGGTTGAACGCCGCAATCAGCGCGAACCGGCGCCGGTCCGAGTCGTTATTGGCCGAGCAGTGCAGCAGGTTGCAGTGGAAGAACAGCGCGTCGCCGGCCCGCATCTGGACCAGGTCGCGGGGGCAGACGCGGCTCAGGTGCCGGACACGGGCCGGGTCGGCGGCCGCCTGCTCGCCCACTGTGGTGTGCACGATACGGCCGGCGCGGTGGGAGCCCCTCAGCACCTGACAGAGGGCGGAGGGAGGGACAGGTTAGGTATCAGCTCTACGGTGTATAAGCTCTATGGTTGTTATCGATATAATTGTTGTTCTCATCTCTCTCCGATGTGTCTATGTAAGATACGCCTCGGTGCGGGCCACGCCAATCATTGTTTCACTGCGTGTGTTCGAGGCCAATTTACCTGCAGGCATCCATTTTCCGTCGAACAGTCGTCGATGGCCATAAACACAGAACACATGTCGGGAAACATGCATCCGTTATTGTACCAGTAACTGAAACAAAGAAATTGTGCGAGTGCTCGGCAACATATATAACAAAGTGATAAGGCATTCGTTGAGGCTTCAACAAAACATCTGGGATTTTACTAAGGTATCTCATTAAATATCTAGGCACAATGTTTAGGCGCATACACATACCCGTAGTCCTGGTGCCACACGAAGGCACCCCCGATGCGTCCCCTCTTCATCATGAGCTTGGCGTGGTAGTGATAGACCTCCTCGCCACCCATAAGCTGAAAAAATGCAGCAGGAATCGCGAAGTTAATAGGTCCTAAACTTTTCTTAGGGATTAAGTAATTAAAAGGCGTATGAAGTGAATCGAACAGATGGAGCAAATTTCATTTTGAAGTGCCATTGAGCGGTCTTTTGACAACAAATTATCAAAATGCTAGAATAGAGTCTCATTTAAAAGTCAGCAGCCGATATAGGCGCCACCACACCTGCTGCGCGGTGAACGCCACCTTTCTGGTCCTGGATACGGTGCCCAGAACGTCGTCACCGGGGTGGTTCCAGACGCAGATCTCACTCTTGCGTCCCTGGTCGTCCGTGCGGCCGAACGCGTGCCTCTTCAGCTCCGCAGACTCGTCAATGGCATGGTTCAGATGAACGATCTCTTCGCTGGATAGCAGCTTCCTAGGTGGCATTGTTTCTCGAAACGGTCAGCGCACTATAGCAGGGTCATCGGGAGGCCGTGCTCTTTTTCAGCTAAGTAATTAGAAATAGGTATGCTGATTGCTGATTGCCTTTGTTGAGTTATTTCCCCCAGGGCTAATGCCAATGATTCCCTTAACAATTATTCTGCACCTTTCCATTCTGCCTTTCTTCATAAAAAATATTAAAAGTACGGTAAGTAAGCATGAATAAGCCCAAGAGCGAACCTTTCTTTGAAATGACGACGAAAGAAAAGTAGGGAAAGATACATCTATAAATACACAGAGAGGGAGAGAGAGAGAGAGAGAGAGAGAGAGAGAGAGAGAGAGAGAGAGAGAGAGAGAGAGAGAGAGAGAGAGAGAGAGAGAGAGAGAGAGAGAGAGAGAGAGAGAAAGAGATAGAGAGAGAGAGAGAAAGAGAGAGAGAGAGAGGGAGGGAGGGAGAGAGAGAGAGAGGGGGGGAGGGAGGGAGGGAGGGAGAGATAATTTACAGAGTGCGGTCAGCCCACCCGTTGAAGTGCACCCACCTGATGTACGCGTATCCATTGACGCGGTAGCTGGTCATCATCGTCTCCGTAACGAGCAGTTCCCCTGAGCCGTCATATTCAAAGACGGCGTCACTAGGTGGGTCAGTGCCATCCGGTCCTGGAACGAAATGATTTTTTTTTTTTGCGAAGTGCCTAACTATTTATAAAGAAGCACATATTTCACCGTCTAACAATTTTCCTCAATTAGCGAACGTAATTGATAAATGTAATATTTACCTTACGGCTTACCTTATATTAAATATTACCAGTGAAAGACCAAAACATTCATCTTTAAAGCCACAATTCCGGAGACATGAGGCAGGCAATGAAAACCATTTTCACCCACTCATCATGTCTACTACCCAACGCAGCTGTACCGCCACGGCAGAGACGACCAAGGTCTTACGGCACGAGTGGACACTGGAAAGTGATATAAACACTTTGAAATACTGTGCCTGACACTGACTGACCCGACATTGCAGTCTCCCAGAAGTACGACGGGGAGCTGAACACCCAGCGTGCGTCGGTGGTCACACTGGATAGGCACTAGCTGGTTACTGCCCTTCCCAAGCAGTGACTGTGAACCCTTCACACGCCAGTGGCGGAGGAACACCTTCAATTAAGGGGGGGGGGGGAGGGGCACTGCCGACTTTTGGTCCCATTCTTTCCATGCAACGCCAATAGGGCTAATGTTAAAATGACAAAATCAAAGGGGGGCACTGTGCTCCGGTGCCCCCCTCCCGTTCCGCCGCCTATGTCACACGCCAGGGTCACTGTCTGTTTACACAGCGGCTGGACCATGGCCTTGGTGAAATGCAAAGACAAATAACTAGATCGTGTCAACGTACACTCGGGGGCAGATTGATGTTCCACAACTCTTTATCCACCGGGTTCCTATGGCTCAGCATTGGCAGCAGCCGCCTGGTACCGGTAGACTGTGCCGCTTCACGTACTTGTCAAGCGGCACAGCCTACCCACCCGTATGCCACCGGTCTGGGTCGGTGGCTGGAAGGCGATGTGGGCCGCCGGTGACGTCAGCGCAGCGGTGAGGGCCGAGCCCGGAGGCACGGCTCGGGTCGGCGCGGCGCGGCGGCTGGCGAGGGCTGGGGAGTGAGGTGGGGTGGGAGCACGGACCATCGCGCGGCTGAGCGAGTGTAGTTAACTTTCGCGTCTCAAGGCGCCAATTATTCTACCTAACAATTGTGCTAAAGCAGTTGTAAAAATGTCCTATCCCCAAGACAGCGCCTATCATCATACTTGCCATGCACATTACGACACACTTAAACGTGACATTGGGACAGCCGATAGAATTTATATCACACGTGCATCGAGTTGCGGAGCTACATTGTTTTTAACAGATATGTATTAAAGGAAGGGTGCCACCTTTTGGACACAACGCAGTTTTTACAAGATTAGCCTCACATGAACCTGAAAACCGGCTTCACTTACCTATGCTCGAGACGGTCAGCATTGAATCCGCACGTGAAGTTATCATTTGCGAGTTTTGCTGCCAGCATTCGGGCAGGCAAAAATCTTCAGCACTATTTCCTCGTTGTGTTAAGGGTATTTTATAAAACATGAAATCAGCAAAGGTATGTATAAAAGTTATACTTTTGAAGCATGTTTTATCATTTTGAAAGGGTATATTTTTTCTTTATGGTATACACTTAAGTTTTAAAATTTTAATTGGGAAGTTTTTCTAGTAAGTTGCATGAAGGGTGAAGGGTTCCATAGATCTCTTAAGCATTGTAAAGGAAAAACCTTTACTCGACTTATTTGATGTTCTTTAACTGTTGGCAAATATGGCCAACAGTTACCTAGTTGGTTACCTACAACTTAGTTCAAATCATGTTATCTTCTTCCTTTTTATTTGTTCATCTTTTTGTCTCAGTTGCGCCATCAATGCAAATGGCAGAATGATATGTTGCCATGACAACAGGATATGCCAGCCGTCCTAGCTGCCACATCAAACGACCTTGAGTTGTAGTGGTGCTATAAACAACGATCCTTTTTTTGGCCAATGTATTAAATGCAATGTTTCGGTTTTTTGTATATTGTGGACGCGCTAACCACGTCTAAAAATTCAAATAAGTAAAAAAGATTCATAGAACAAAAATTTCGGAAGGTGGCACCCTTCCTAAGGCCTTGATTGAGCTCATTGGTGTCTATTATTTCGCACAGCAATCGTCCAGAGACGTGGGAACTGGGGTATTTGGATAGCGCGGCGTCCCAACTCTTATGTTCCTCTAATGTGTGGTCGCAGCCACCAATAGCAAACCGTTCCATCTAGGAACAAATAAGTCGCGCACCTGGGACGGTTCGAACCGGGTTTCTCCAACCGGTCACCCCACGACGCTAGCCTGTATCCACTGAGCTGCCGAAACCAGCGACCACCCGCCGCGGTCAAACGCGATCAAATGTCACAATATTGTCATTAGCGGTCAGCGGGTGAATGTCATTTTGTTTTGTGCGGACGAGGACCATTCTCGGTAGCTCAGTGGATGAACGCTAGTGTCGTGAATTGGCCGGTGGGAGAAGCCCGGTTCGAACCCCCCTGAGTGGCCGACTTTTTGGCACCTAGTTGGAACGGTTTGCTATTGGAGGCTGCGACCACATATTAGAGCAACAGTAATAATCGCTTTAAATTGGAGCGTTGGCTGCGGCACTACTCATAACCCCCAGTTCCCACGTCTCTGGACGATTGCCGTGCGAAACAATAGACACCAACCTGCTCAATCAAAGCCTTAATACTAATATGTTATACAAAATATAGCTCCGCACCTCGATGCACGAGTGACATAAGTTCTATCGGCTGTCCCATTGCCACGCTTAACCCGCGCCCCGTAGGGCTACCGGCGGACCCTACCACCCGTAGGGGGGGGGCCGTTTCGGCCCCCCCCTAAGATCTCGGAAAGTTACCGGCCGATTTTCAAAATTCAAACGGCGTTCGATAGCCCCACCCGGGAACTACCTTGTGACCAAATTTCATTGACCTAGGTCAAACCGATGACGTCACAGGTCAGGTCAAAGGTCAGATTTTCACCGTTCACAGGCAATTCAAGAAATGTGCTGTGAAAGCGAGTAAATTGGTAATTTATTGAAAACCATCGATGGTACATTGTTCGTCAAACACATACCTTGCTATCTGAGGTCACTGATACCAGGTCAGGTCACAGCGAGGTCAGGTCACCGGGGGTCACAATATGAATGTGTCGTGTGATACATGTTTTATGGTCCATTTTACATGACAAATGCGATTATGTGGGTTAGGCAGCCTTTGGGGCCAGCCTAGGTCACGTTTTTGTGAAGGTCAGGTCAAGGTCAGGTCAAATTAGGTCAAATTTCAAAGTTGATATTTTTGCATAAAATGGGTATCGATTCGATGCAGCTCGTCACGGGGAGTCTAATGGTGGTCTTCGTTTTGCTCTACGATTTCTAGAATTGCCAAAAATTGAGTTTGAAAATTTGACGTCATCATTTTTGAACAGTTTTTTCGCTATAACTTGGCCAAAAAACGAGGTATCGATCTGAAATTTGGTATGTAGATAGAAGACGGTAGGCACTATCACATATATTCCGGTTTTTTTCGAAATTCAAAAAACTTTTTGGATTTTTTGGCGAATATATCCAAAAAAATGTTTTTTTGACTTTTGGGGGTCAAAACTCAAAAATTTCAAAAATTCGAGATAGCAGTTTTGTAGCCCTGTCAATTCTACACCTTTTATGTCTTGATCATTTTTCTGTATCTTCAAAGCTGTAGTCCTGACAGGTCTTCTCGCGAAGGTCTTTTTTCGGTCGAAAATGACAGAACATGACGTCACTCTGACGTCATTTGTGGCCAACCTATCATAGCCTCTGGAAAAATTTTTGGTCACAATGTGTAAAATTGATGCCCGGAGGGGTCCTGAAAGTTTGGTGGCGATATCTCCAGCCGTTTAGGAGATATCGACCGAAAAGGACAGGGGGGGCCGTTTCGGCCCCCCCCCTACGGGGCGCGGGTTAAGTGTGTCGTAATGTGCATTGCAAGTATGATGATAGGCGCTGTCTTGGGGATAGGACATTTTTACAACTGCTTTAGCACAATTGTTAGGTAGAATAATTGGCGCCTTGAGATGCGAAAGTTAACTACACTCGCCCAGCCACGCGATGTCCGTGCTCCCACCCCACCTCACTCCCCAGTCCTCGCCAGCCGCCGCGCCGCGCCGACCCGAGCCATGCCTCCGGGCTCGGCCCTCACCGCTGCGCTGACGTCACAGGCGGCCCACACCGCCTTCCAGCCACCGACCCAGACCGGTGTCATACAGGTAGGTAGGCTGTGCCGCTTGACAAGTAAGTGAAGCGGCACAGTCTACCGGTACCAGGCGGCTGCTGCCAATGCTGAGCCATAGGAACCCGGTGGATAAAGAGTTGTGGAACATCAATCTGCCCCCGAGTGTACCTACTGTAATCCAGGCGCTGAGGCCGCTGGTAAAACAGTTCACACTGGCTGGTCTAGTAAACTTATGGGCGTTCTTTCATATTTTTTTTCTCATTTCAATGCTTTAACCCTCGCCGGCACAGGGGGGGGGGGGGGGTTGATGCAACCCCCCCCCCTAAGGTTTTTCGCGAATAACTCGCGTAAAAAGCGGCCGATCGCGACGAAACTTTCAGTACCTTCGCATTGATCAATTTTACACCTACCCTGAAAATTCCATGACCCTGACCCAAATGACCTTTGACCTGTGACCTCTTTTCCGAGACCATGTTTGGCCGGAATCGCGATTCGGCGTATGTCGGCTCGCATTAGCCGCGCGTTTGCAAGCTTTTCGTGGTTTCAAACGTTCAAACATGTGATTTGATGTTGCTTCCATACATTTGGGTGGGTGACAAGGTCACCTGAAGGTCAGGTCAGGTCATTGACCTTTGTTGACCTCGGGTGACCTCGGCTCACTTTTTCGAGTTTTACATGTTTCTAGGCTAGTTTTTGGAGCTGAATTCGAATTTAGCAACCATTTGAACATTTACGAAGTAGTTTTTGTGCCTTCGTAACATGTTACGAAGCTGTCAGAGGCCGTTGACACGTATTACGAATACCCGTCACAACCCCTACCGGTTGACCTGACCTGACCTGACCCGACCTGGTCTAAATGCTTAAAGACATCATCTCTGATCAAAACTAACACGATATTCGTGATCAGCACCCCGGAAAACCACATAGCAGCCACACTTTACGACTTTCTAACATGTCCCGATTTTCCCGGTTTTCGGGTCATTGACCTGACCTGGAAGGTCACCCGATGACCTAGGACCTTAAAATTGGGTATCATCGGCTTCGTCTCGTGACGGGCAACACGCTCGTTTTTTTTCGCGAAGCTCTAGCTCGATCAGGGGCCAAACGCGAGGGGGGGTCGTACCAACCCCCCCCCCCCTTGTGCCGTCGAAGGACGCAAAATGGCCTGTGCCGGCGAGGGTTAACAATTAATTCTACCTTTCGCATATCTGACTCACCTTGCAACACCAAGAAAAGGGTCGTAGTTAGGTAATGTTTATGACTGATCTACATACTAGTAGAGCGTGGTTTTAATCGGTCGCTGTACCTATGATATCAGGTGTTCGAAATGTGTTAGATAGAATCATTTAATCAAGTGAAAATCATAATACATAGTCGATCACATGCTGAACTCAAAGCTCCATAAAATGGTGTTGCAATTCTACAGCGACTCTTGCTATTCGCTCGAGATACCTACTAAAAAAGAGAAGGATTTTGTTTCTTATACCGTACCTAAGTGTAACTTATATTCTGACGGTGACGGTGTCACCAAACGCTGCCAACATGGCCTTCGTCAAACACTCATTTTTGATTGGTTTTAAATTCAATTAAAATCAGCCAGCAGTCTCCGTACTCACATGTCCCTCACCATTGTTTGTTGCCATGACCAGTTTCTGAGCAACACGGTGCGCAGCCGCAGAGCTCACTTAGCCAACCATGCAACGGCTGCAACGACCAAGTGCGGCAGCCCGCTGGGGGCCTCCGTCGAGGCAGGTCACCACGTTCCCCTGCAACTCACACCGACCCCTTGGTTCGGCCGCAAAATGGCAGCGCTCAGGCGAGTCTGGCTAGTTGTGTCTTTGATATTGCTTTCTGAGGCGGCACTGCAATTTTTCGACGGCCACGATGCCTCCCGTACACACCTGGTTGGTTCTGGTGGCATTGAAAATATCACGTTTTTCGAATCGCCTGGAAGCGTTCGAGTTGTGAAAAAAGAGCATTGCTTCCTCGTGAAGAATATGAACAGATGTAAGTATGATATACCAATTACGGTTTTGCCATCAGAGAGTCTTTGCGATGTTTTATCGATCAGTTTAATGCATTTGGATTTTGGAGAGTCGTGATATGACGTGAAATCATGCCGTCTAATTTGGTAATGCCTCTACGGTGTTCTGCAAGCTCTGTTAACCCGCGCCGTGCTGGTGGCCTGCGTTTTCCGTGTCGTTCTGGGGGAGGGGGAGCGTTTTTAGGTCAGGTAAAAGGTCGGGTCACCAGAGGTCATCAAAGGTCAAATTTAGTCCATTTCAACAATTTTGGAAAAAGCCAACGGCTAACTCGGGAACCAATAGAGCTATAGCGCCGCGGAAAGCGCATTCGATAGCCCTTATACAGACCTTTCTGAATATTGTGCTCAGATTTGACCTCAGGTCAACGGTTTAGCCTCCAGAGGGCAAAAATCCTAAAAAAGCCGTTTTCACGAAAAATGTTTTTCGGTAATAACGTTTCACTCAAAAGATCCACGACATTACTTTAGCAAGCATTGTGTTCCTCTCGTCGAGATGCGTCGAATGAACTATACGTTGACCTTGAAAGGTGATTTTGAAAATTCGACCTCAGGTCAAGGTCATGACCTGACCGGAAAGGGCCGTGCTGCATATCAGTCGATCCGTATCGTCGAGCTGAACACATCTGACATGTATATTGTTAAACATCTGACGTGTTGCCACCGCTCTAGCACGTCTTTATCAAAAGCTAGAGCAAAAAAAAAAACTGCTGGTAAACCTTCATGACCTAAGATGACCTCAGGGACACACGAGACACACAGAGGGGTCACAGTTGCATTTTTCCCGATTCAGTGTGTCATGTTTACCTATGAACCGATGTTTGAGAGGGGTTTGAACGACATTCGTCCAAAAGAGGCGCATTTCAGTTTTCTCCCATTGACATAATGGAGAGGTCGCAAAATTGACCTGACCTTAGGTCATAGATCTCAAAGATCGGATGTATGCATTTTATACATATTGCTAGTCTTATCAATCGCTGAAAGTTTCAAAGTAATCGTTCAGTCGGTGTAGCTAAAGCGAACCTTCGAACTTTTTCTGAGGTAATTTCACTTGACGTGACCTGGTGACCTGACCTTGAACGATCCGGGTCTGAAATTTTTACACCATGTGTGGAAAAGATGTATGAACAGGTACCAAAACCGGCGGCGCACAGCGCCGTCGTTTTTTGTGATATTCGCGAGAAACCTGAGGGGGGATGCCGTAAAAACGCCCCCTCCAGCACGGCGCGGGTTAACAACTATCTGAGCCCGTCACAACGCTTTTGACTATCCGGGCAAAGTGATTAAAACTGGGCGTTAAAGGTATGTACAATGTACAGTCCTCATCTCATTGTGTGGTAGGTATTTCTTTTTCGACAAAGCCAATAATTACTCGAAGGATATGTTATCAGTCGGTCGGGTTTCATAGCACAGGGATGTGCCATGTCCACTCTTTTGATTGGGTCTGTCATTAAATGAGTTCTTTAAATGAGCTCTTTATTTTAAGAATTTATTTCAGTGTTTTAATCGATGTCACTCTCTGATAATATGGCAAAGCAGGCATATAGGCAATAAGTGCAACCTTAGGCATACTTACCAAAAAGGGACATTTAAATTTGTCCTTCCCATAGTATGCACTGAGTGCTCTTACCGAATGGTGCAACGCTAACGGTGTCATGCATCAAAGGCATCAATTTAGAAATGCTGTCTGCCAAGTAAACTATGAAGTATTTGGCTCTAATGTATACCTAATAATTTCTCTCTTTTGCATGAATCACGTCAACCTTGACAGCTAAAGCAAAATATATTTTTTAAGTGTTTTTTTTTATAATGTGTTTGACTTTGATGTGAATGAATGAATTGTGATGTGCTGTTGTATGTGTTTCTGGGTATGGTAACTGTGAAATAATGTTTGCCTAAAACTGCCAAAATCTATATAGTATTTAGTAAGCATAAGTAGTTTTAGTGAAACAATCATGAAACGCCTTCATAACTTAAAATTGGAGTCGGCATCTAACAGTGAGATAAAATACTAAGCACAAGATCACTAACAAAAAATATCCATACAACGGAATAAAAGTAAACTGGCGCCCCTTCCGTGCCGGCGTGACTGAAACATTGCTTAGAAATCCACCCCTTGAATGAACACTGTCGAGCGGAGTTCAGCCGTGCATTCACCGTGCACTAACGGCCACGATAGGGGATGTTCATATAGCGCTATACCAACGTGCACATATGGTTTTCATTCACCGATCAATGTGCCCGTCCATTCAGCACGCACGTTCATGAAACCATGTAATATACGGGTGAGTGTAGATGTGTCGTAATGTCGGCGTTTCGAAGTGGCTACAGCGAGTTCATGTTTTTCCTCGGTGTGTTCAGGACCTGAAATGTTGCGACAAGAATAAGTGTGCGATGAAAAGGACGACCAGAGCTAACTGGTGACCACTGATGGTGGGTCGATGGGTGCAGCACAGTAAAACGTTCCTTGTTGCCTTTAGCCTTCTTGGGGCGCAACGCGTAGATATAAAGACTGGACAGTGAACAGTGCATAATGCCCAGCGGTGCTGAGGCAAAGGTTATTATTCAGGGTCGGTATTCGTTACTGCCCTGTGACCTTTTTCACCTCATGTTACTGTACCGTATTTGTTTTCCATCGTTACTGTGTTGTATCCTACCTTTCCTTTACGCCCCGTCATTTTATTTACCTATGGCAGCCCATTTGGTAAACCCTGCATCCTTCACGAATATTTTTCCTAACCGCGCCGATTTCGCTTTGTTGTCGTATTTCGTTCGGAGTTCTGTCGCCACCACCGCCGTGTGAGGTTGTCTACCGCCATGAGTGTGATCAGATTGATATCTGCCGCCACCGGCGCCACCAATATAACTGAAGTGCTCGCATATATTCAAGTTTTTCAAGTCGAAGCAGAGCGCCGGCCCAATTTATTTCTTTTTATTTTAAACATAAAATAATCTTTTGCATGGCCATGACTGATGCTCGTTTCATCAGAAATGCCGTCAGAACTCTATAAATACCTATGTATATTCAATTAACTGTTTCATCGTGATGTATTTATATTTGAACTTTGTCAGTCCTTTTTACCTTCTTCATAGAATGAAATGGCTGGCAGATAGTTGTAGCCATACACTTGTCGAACTGCTGTATTGTCAGGCGGTTTACTGGCCTCGACCTGTACTTGAAAAGAATGAATAATTTACACATGACAGTAGAAATGTCCAGCAGCAATGCTCCTGTTTAATGCAAAACGCAGCACCGTTTTCGGGGTCGTTTAAGATCCTGCATACCACGGTGACTATAAATACTGCATAGTGCATACTTTATTTCCCTGTTGCTGACGATGAATGATTAAGGAATAAATGTTTTGAATTTGGTACGGTACAAAGTTAACTTCTACAACATGAAAGGATGGTCACCGTGATGAGGAATGCGTCCCAAAATAAATCATTGGCTTTTGAATTCAAAATGACTATACTGAGTTCATATTGCCAAAAATGAACACTTGGTTTGTGGGAAGTGCTTCCATTTTTCACAAAACAAGAGCATTGAATGTACCCACACTGATATGGGAATTTCTAGAAATAAACATACCTACCTCGCCTAGCGGATTTTTGCTACCCTGTGATGGGTCTCAGTGTTCTCTGTAACATAATTTTGCACTGACCAGTCGGAAGATAGAAAACGTGAACATTATCAATGCGGACACAGTTTGACGTCTCAGAATTTCACGGTAGTTGTCTACGCATTACGCAACACAGACACTTTCTGTGCACGGAGCACCCAGCCTTGGCCTCCTCTCATGTGCTGTCTTCCATGCCCTCCCCGCTGCCGCAGGTCAATGTAAGGCCGCCTGCCGGGCCCGACCCACCTGTCTGAGCATGGCTCACAGCGACGAGACCAGCGAGTGTCGCCTATCCGCTCAGCTCCCGCTGTTCAACCGCACCGAGCCGAGCGGCGAGAACTGGCTGGTCCACTACCGTAAAATCCCAGGTGAGTCCCTCACAAGCGTTTGTGATTAGCCCGTTCAATGAAGCTGCCATGTAGAGGCTGAGACCTAAGCAGTGGCCAAAAGGATTACACTTCCTTCTGCGTTGCTGCGCCATACGATGAATTGTTTTCATGGACCTGGTTAGCGCTTTCTCTTTGCGGTTTAAACTGTAATTGCTCATAACGTGCGACGTTGCGGAGGTGATTGATACTCCTTTTTTTTTGCAGATCTGCTAGCGCTGATCACTGAAATGCGAAACTATCAATATTGACACGTTTCCTTGTGACAGGCTCACCGAGGCACCTCTGCTCCCGTCACAGCGACTGCGTCCACATGGATGGTCCCCACGGGTGCTACGGAAAGAAAGGCGATCAGAAGTGTTGGTGTGAGCGCGACTTCCGGCTCCAGGTGGCCTCCTGCTGCGTCAACACGCGCTGGGGCGACTTCGAGCAGGGCCTCTCCGGCGAGCCGGATCCGGAGTCGCGACTGGAGCAGGTCCCCTTCGACCCGGAACGGTGTCGGAGGCTGTGCGAGCAGACCGCCGGCTGTCTGCTGGTGGCTCTCGGCGTTCAGGATCAGCAGCCCGTCTGCCAGCTGTTCGCCAGTGTTCGGCCCTCCTCTGAGCGCGAAACCGTCCAACAAGTCGGCCGGTTGTCGGCCCCTGAAGATGCTCCTTCAGAGACAGATAGCAATCTTGATGGAGACACTCAGGCTGGAGTATCGACTAAGGACGTCAAAGTGGAAGTTCAGGCCTTTCGCTTTCGACGCGATACGCCGCCTGAAAACTATGTTAAAGCTGACGATGGCCGATGGTTTCTGATGGGACTTAACAAATCAACTGCCATGGAGGGGAGCGCATATTGCATCAGGAACTGGGGCATTCTGTATCCCGCCCATTCTCTTCAAGACACGAAGAATGTGCTGGCTCTGCTTGATGGCAACAACTTCAAGATGCTGAGCTACGATAACCTGATTTACGTTGGCATTGACCGCGGCGCTGACCCTTTAGCTGACAACACCATACCCTTTATCACTTCAGACACCCAGCTGACCATCACTTCATGGGCGCCAGAGGAGCCGAACCTGCTGGCCCAGGAACAGTGCGCTGTTGTTCACACCGGCACATCCCTTCTGCATGACGTCACCTGCGACCGTCGACTGCCGTTCGTCTGCCAGCGGGTCGGGCGCAGAATCTCGGGGTGGAAACAGTGGTCGGAGCACGACAACACCCTCACAGTGGATCTGGGAGGCCCACATCAGATCCACGCAGTGACCTACACCGGCGGCTCTGACAGCCAGCGGCAGGCGGTCACGGTCACCACATCCCTGCAGCTGGGACGGTGGATGCCGTGCGCGCGCGCTGAGCCCTGGGGAGCGGCGCCTCAGGGGCTGGCCCGACTGCTGACCTGTGACCGAGTCACCTTCGGCCGCTACGTGCACCTGCACTTTGAGAGGGCAGTGAGAGTCAGGGGAAATCCGAGCGTGTTTGGCATTCCTGTTTTTGGCAAGTAGGCGGCGGACCTTGACTTGCGGCACTTGAAAGCAATCATTCAATCGCATACCAAGAGCATTTACTTTTTCTTTGATGTATAAAGATCACTACGCCACAAGCACACATGCATACACACAACATATTCACGTGTACCCAAGCATTTGTTTGACGAAAGCAAAAAGTAAGAGATGAGCAGCCGCGTAGAATAAAACTGGTGGACATTGACCCAACCGTCTTATCTGGACTGACATAACCTATGCCTTGAAGCGGTACGACGAGGTGGTAATCTGAGTCTAGTGATGTCAATTACGGAAAATCGGAATACCGATACCAAACCAAATACCAACCAAAACCACGGGAAAATACCGAAACCAAACCAACTTGGGAAAATGAGGGAAATACCAACTTTTACGATTTCTTAGCCTCTTATACATTAGTGAGGATTTATGATACCAACAAAATACCAAACACATTACGATTGAAATACCAAATACCAAGTTGGTATCGGTTTGGTATCGGTATGCCAAAAAGTTGGTATCCGATTGACATCTCTAAATCTGACTCCTGGCAGTATGGGCGTTCAGGAACGACCGACGGCGAAGTATCGATGTGCGGTGTGCAAAGCGCGGGCCAGGGAGTTGTCTCATGCCCCGCTCTTTCTCTCTGTCGTCACTCGTCTCACAAATATGACGTTTATGCTGTTGTCTCAGTCATTGCCTCGGGCCCGTGTCTTGTGGCCTCCCACCGGCGGCGGTATGGACCAAACGTTGAACACTCTGCAGCCAGATGGCGTCATAATACACAGCTTAGGCCTTCATGGGCGGTGTGCAGACTACATAGATGGTCATAAACGGTATCTGGGGATGAATCACGCCATTAGCGTTCAGTTCTGAAGACAGCGAGGTGGCCCAAAGTTGACTTTCGACCCATTATTTTACCTTCATTGCATACCGCTCGGCAGACTAGCGTCAACGAAATTAATTTGATGGTGTTCGTTTTCAGGGGTGGAGAATTAGGTGTTTTGGGGGTGCTCGAGCACCCCCTGAAAATCAAAAGTCACAATATTATATTGCTCCGGGGGTCCTTAAATTACGTCTGAGACACAAACTGCTTTACGAAAGTTGCGAGGAGAGTGATTCTGCTGAGAAAACGTACCTATACGTGCTTTTCTACGCAAGAATTCGACGCTTCCATTCGCCAGGTGCTAGAAAAGCACCCCGTGGGATTATGACAATTCTCCGCTCCTTCGTTTTGTGCTATCAAATAACCAAACGACAAAAGTAATTAGCCGGGCATGTCGCGAAAAGCAATACGGTAAACACTGTTTTTACTTGGGCAGCTACATATAGGCGAATAAAGCAAATAACTTACTGCACATTTAACCCTATTAGTGGCAGGGGGGGGGGTTGTTTTTATCCACCCCTCAGGTCTTTCGGGGATATCTCCGAAACCGCTGAAGCTACGATGCTGAAATTTTCTGACTTTTCCTAAAACTAAATTGGGCACATTCCCTGAAAATTTCAAGTTCATAACTTTACCAGGGGCGGCTCCAGAGCACTGGGAATTGGGGGGTCCTATTCGTGAAGCGAGTCATTTGGGCGAAGATCACGATGCTGCACCAGTTTTACGAACAGTGAATGAAAGGTATCATGTGATAACATATACAAAGTTATTGTGCATCCTCTTTTGACACGTTTTTGCTATAATAGGCGGATCCAGGCGTCCAAAAAGGGGGGTTATTTTTACCTCCCAACATAGGTGCCCTGACACCGCCTATGCATGACCAATACAATTTTAGTCGTTCTCTCATAAGAAAATTGTAACATAACAAGACCATTGCCACCCTTTTTAGAAACAGTACCAACAAAAACCTTATTTACTATACTTTTTGTGTACCCCCAATCTCAATGATCTGTATCCGCCTATGATTTTTGAAAATGCATAATTTTAGGATCCATGTGAATTCCTGGTTCATTCTCTATCGATCGGCAAAAGTTGCGTTAAGATTGGTTCAGAAACCTGGCCGTGATAAACAGTCTAAAATGTATCTGCAATTTGCCCGTTTTTACCCCCTCTACCCCCCTATTGACATTTTTTTTTAGAAATGTAGATACGTTGAGCCACATCGAATGCCGTTTGAATTTTGAAAATCGGCCCGTTAGATCTCGAGATATCAAGGGGGGGTCGTAAACAGCCCCCCCCCCCCCTGCCACTAATATGGGGTAGCCAGGAGCCTGCCACTAATAGGGTTAAATAGGCAAGCGCGTACTCGTAAATCGCGTCACAAACGGAGTTCGCATTGATCACCACGACTGAACGTCCATTTGTAACGCGAGTTTGTTTTGCTGGAGAGTTTGTGGCCCCTGATTCTGTCTATTTCCTTCGATTATAGGAATTCTGTCGGTGGCAAAATTTTAGACAAGTCTTTAATGACTATATAGCCGGGCATGATGATTTGAAAACTAACCCGCGCCCCGTTGGGCTCTGCCGAGCAACGCGCCCCGTTGGGGGGGGGGGGGCATTTTGGCCCCCCCCCCACTAAGATCTGGAGAACCACGCAACGTAGCGACAAGCGGCAAACGGTGTTGGATAGCCCTATCAGGGAACTACCTTGTGACCCAATTTTATTGACCTAGGTCAAACCGATGACGTCACAGGTCAGGTCAAAGGTCCAATTTTCACCGTTTACAGGCATTTCAAGAAATGCGTTGTAAAATCGAGTAAAATGCATTTCATTGAAAATCATCGATAGGGAAATGTTCTTCAAACACATATTTTGCTAGTTGAGGTCACTGATACCAGGTCAGGTCACTGAGGTCAGGTCACTGGGGGGTCACAATATGAAAGTGTCGTGTGATACATGTTTTATGGTCCATTTTACATGGCAAATGCGATTATGTGGGTCAGGTAGCCTTTGGGGCCAGCTTAGGTCACGTTTTGGTCAAGGTCAGGTCAAGGTCAGGTCAAGGTCAGGTCAAATTAGGTCAAATTTCAAAGTTGATATTTTTGCATAAAATGGGTATCGAATCGATGCAGCTCGTCACGGGGAGTTCAATGGTGGTCTTTGTTTTGCCGTACGAGGTCTAGAATCGCTAAAAATTGAGTTCAAAAATTTGACGTCATCATTTTTGAACAGTTTTTTTTTTCGCTATAACTTGGCAAAAAACGAGATATCGATCTGAAATTTGGTATGTATATAGAAGAGCGCAGGGACTATCACATATATTCCGGTTTTTTTCGAAATTCGGAAAAAAAATTTGGATTTTTTTTTAGTTTTTTCTAAAAAAAATCAATTTTTTGAAATTTTTTGGGTCAAAAACCCAAAATTTTGAAAATCCGAGATAGCAGTTTTGTAGCGCCGCTTTTTGTCTATTAGACCATATAAAGAATTTTGAAATTGCTTGATAACTGTAGATTTGGTGAGCGTTTCAAGATTGCATGTTTTTTGCTCATTTTTCTCGAACATGACCTCAGTTTGACCTCAATAACTCCTGACCTAAGGTGACCTAAGACTTGAAATTTGGTGAGAAGGTGTCAAATTGATGCCCGGAAAGGTACTGAAAATTTGGCGGCGCTGCGCGCCGCCATTTTCTTGCTATTCAGGAAAAACCACAGGGGGGGGGCAAAATGGCCCCCCCCAACGGGGCGAGGGCTTAGGCATATAAGCATCTGTGCAACCCAAACCGATAACTTTTAACCCTCGCCCTGGCAGGGGGGGGGTCGATGCGACCCCCCCTAAGGTTTTTCGAAGATAGCGTAAAAACGGCGGCGCGCAGCGCCGCCAAATTTGGCACAGCCTATGGGGCAGCCTTTTTACATATGACCTGAAAATTTCAGGTCCGGGTGACCTTGGGTCAGGTCACCAGGTCAGAAAAACCGGTACAAGGTCATGGTCAAATTTCAATTTTCTTTTTGCACCTATCCAACTCACAGTTTTGCACTGATTTCCTTCAAACTTTCAGGATGTGCTAAGTTCACCGAGTTGTATAACATATAGTTCGGGTTTTTTGAGGTCACTGACCTGAGGTCAGTTAGAACTTAGAGGTCATTACGTCGTAATGTTAAGCCTATGGGAAAATACTAAATTCGGAAAATACTGGAGATATCCGCTTCGTTCTATCACTTTTGTGCTTTGAAACCACAGTACTTAACAGCAGGTCACTTGGTGCTTCTTTGTTTGGTGTACTTATCCATGGGTCAGGTCAAATGAGGTCAACTGAGGTCAAATGACGTTTTTGCCAATAACTTGGCACATAATGACGCTAGAGCTTAAAAAATGGTATCATTGTGTTCCTGGTGATCAGCCGAATCGAATGGTATGCGATATGATGCAATTTGGTTAACTTTAACTTAATTTATTAATTTAAGTTTACTTAAAATTTAAGAAAAACTTTAAGTACACTTCAGCAAGCTAAAAAGTATATCATTCGACGCGCCTTGACGTGCTGAGTTCACTGGTGCTTTTCTTTTTGCTCTATCTTAATTAGATCAAAAGTTATAAGCGAAAAACTTTTGACCTGTTTTTAGCGAAATTTTTACATTTATACCCCCCAAAACCCCCCTAAATATTGACCTAGAGCAACCAAATTTGCACAGGGGCGAGAAATCCAGGGGGCCCACCTACCTACCAAATTTGGTGTTTCTAGGTGCCATAGGAGCCAATCGCGAGGGGGGGTCGCATCGACCCCCCTGCCAGGCCGTGTTATGAAAAATGCCCTGCCAGGGCGAGGGTTAAGAAACACAATTGACCTAATTTGACCAAATCTGCAACAAAACTGCACCCAATCTGCGCCGAAGGTGTACCTACCAGATGACCGTCGTGAGACGGCTTTTATGAACTTTGAAGAATCTTCAGCAGGCTTCCTTGAATCTTGATTATGATCTTCAATGAGAACATTGCTTATCAACAGCGCCTCTTCGATGGCTTTACATCATATGTACTGAAAGGCCTGACAAAAGTGAAGGCCATCCACAATGTTACTCCCAGCAGTTGGTGTCCATGAGGTCCTAACTTGCAGCCAACTTACCTACACTGTAACTGCATCATCACGTTGTATTCATCTACACTCTACAGAGTTCCGTTAATGTCGGTGACTTTTTATGACGTCACATGGCTGCAAAGGAATAGTGGAGATCCGCAGTTTGAATTGGTTTTCGATTTAGCATTTAATCGCAATGACTTTCACGAGAAAGAGGTACATGTTTCTGTTTTCCTTAGGTCTTAGATGATA